AAGAAATTTGTAAGTTTTTCGGTTCGGTTTTCGACTGGTTGATATTAATTTTAAGAGTTGATGTTTCCTAAAAGTATTGTTCAATAGAAGACTTCAATTTTTTAACCGAACAATTTCAGAATTTTAAAATTTTAACGCAAACCTATGCAATTTTCTGGTCGTTAATTCTAGTAAATAACGATTTCAGCAGGCTAAATCTATACATGGTATCGTACATGCCAGAAATTCGTTCGTTTCACGCTCCTGAGCAGAAAATTTACAATTCTTTTAATAAAGCTTTGATCACGAAATATTTCGTAATCGTTTTTGCCTCGTCAATTATACATAATTGTAAACTGCATGCTATGTTGTAAAAGAATAGGCTTATGATTTAGCTGTGCGTGTATCGAGTTATGATGATGCAGGTTTTATTTTTCTCATCAATAAAATAACTTTCATAGTTCTATTCTTTGGTTAGTCTTAATTTTTAGAGGAGATTTCATTGACTAATGAGTTCTACGTTGTCTAATTTTATGGTTGATAAGTGAAGTGTTTTTTCTTTTTCGTTCTTAATTGGAGTACATATGCGAAGAGACAGCTCGTAACGGTTTTTAGATTTTTTTAAATTTCGATTCGACCATTCTGAAGTAATATAACATCAGTCGATACTTCCCGCATGGTAACCAGGAGATAAATGACTTAAGAGGTTAGGAACTACAAGGAACTATCTATACATAGAGGTCGAATTATGGGTTTGCGTTTTCAATAAAAAGGTTCCAAAAAGCCGTAAAACACTACAACAAAAATTTGTCTTCCATATCGGCACCCTTAATCCCCACAAAATCAACGAGCGCTTTTCATTCAACTAATTTATTCCTGTTTTCTCGTCACCATATTCCAACCAATGGCGTAGCTCCACTTTCTGCATCTAAACCCACACACAACCCTCAGTTCCTCCAATCGCTCTAACGGAGGGCTGCCCCCCGAAACCTCAGCTTTTTTACCCTTTGCGGTGGCTAATTTACGTTTTCAAATCAGTTGTTAACACTAAATTACCTGCTATATATAAATGACCGAACGAACCTTTAAAGATATGAGAAGAACACAAACCGCCGTTGTAAATAAAACAAACCCATACCTCCGCTAACCTCCACATAGACTCGAGTTTTTCTGGGATGGGTTCAACTCTGGTGCACACACCTCAACGCAGCAGTAGCTTCATAAAGCGGCTCTTTTAGGAGCCGCCGCGCCCTGCTTTCGTCGCTTAGGACGATTTCAGGTTGCTAAAACCGGCTATTTTAAGAGCCACCACATCTGCGAAAGTCATGATCAACGTAAACGTACATGAGTAATTTAAATAAATATTCAATAAAGTTTTCTTTTGGCTGCGGGGAAACTGAGTAATAAAACTCGTTCGATTGAGTCGCGGGGAAACTGAGTATTACAGCTACGTCGATCGATCGAGTCGCTCAATTAATCGAGTCAAATTTTAGCTCATTTGTTTAATAGAAAATAAATACAACACAAGTGGTAGGCCTGTCCCGATTGTGCTCGTTTAATGCACAAAAGTTGCCAAAAATCAAAAAAGTTGCCTTATTTCAGAAGTTGCTTCCTGAATTTCTTGATGTTTTTATGTGGACTCTGTTAAAAGTTTTATTATTCGTTCTTCACAGTGATTTCCAACATCAGTCAATAAATGTAGCTCGCACCTTTCTGAAAAGACAAATTACCATAACAATACAATTTTTCGTAACAACAAACTTGCCGACAACATGTGAAAAATTCGTGAATATTTCCGTTTTCTTTTATTCTTGAGGCGCGATTGAGGCCTACGGCCTCGTGCTTTCATCTGTTTTCTCGTGTTTGGAAACCCTGATGAAACCTCGCACTCGTTTTTGAAATAGTACTTGAAACTGAGCTTTTAAAAGCTGCTCGTTAGTATGGGTGAAACTTAAGGATACTCTTAAGTCGAACATAATAAAACACTACCTTCGTTTGTGTTCAGAAGGTTGATCATCAATCAAGAAATTTGCAGAAATTGAAATTTGCAATGAAATCGTTGACATTTTCATGCTTGATATGAGCTCTAAACATATATTTTACCCAAAAATTGCTGAGGAAGGCAAAAATTGCTCGAAGTTAGAAGAACCGCAAAAAGTTGCTCAAAAGTTGCCCGGCACAATCGGGACAGGCCTAACCAATGGTATTAATCAAGTTGGCAAAATGTCAAATTTTATCAGATGATATAATCTTTCATTTCTCGTCGTAAAAATACTGCTTTTTAAACTTCTCTCGACTTATTTCCTATTATTATATCATTAGTATTTTAATACCTTTAGTTTAATAAGTCTTTTTACTTAAGTCTTTCTGGGAGTGACTGTAATTAGTTTTAGACTTTTTTACGTTATTTTATTTTGATTAGTTTGAATTTTATTGTTATTATTATTATTTGAAAAGGACTAAAACATTATTTTTATTTCAATTTTCTGGACGTATTTGGTTTAAAAACAGTTCATATGTTTTTCATCGTGAAATTACTCTAGCCTATAATTGACAACTGTATTTCAATCTACCTAGGTGTTTTTTGTTGTGCACGTATTTCCTATACATCAAAGGTAAGTGTATAGGAATGTGTGAGAATAGGATAGAGGTTTGAAAAGTGTCCATTTCCCTTGTTGCTATACCGTTGAAGAGAAGGGAAATTGAACTGTTATAATTTCTCGTCTGAAAATACTGAAGGAACTAAATGTTTTTTCGAAGTCCGCCTCCCTTATGAGCAGCAGGAGGAAAACGATACCGTTAATGAACAAAACTGTTATCATATTTAGACATCGAACTTGTAAAGTTTCCTCATTAAAACCGTGAAATCATATGAGAAGGTTTTGATCTTTTGGTATTTAAGCATTCCAAGTTCTTATTATAGTTTTATTCGAATCCCTTGGTGCGTTAGGTCTTGTGAAATTTACTTCATTCCGAGCCAAACTTTTGATATGATAAGGGTGTTGGTATCATACGCCTGGCGCCTTGCCCTTTTTTTATATTTATTTTATTTTTTTGTTTACTTAGCCACACCACTGAATAGGTTTACTTGCTTTTTTTGTGACCCTCACAGATTCCTCCATTACATGCTTGAATGTTATCTGGAAATCTGTCGAAACGAAGGAATGACCGACTCCTTTCCTTGAACATGACCGAGGGTAAGTGAATGTTCGCCAGTCTTCACCTAGTTCTTTGAGCTCTTCTCCTAGTTCTTTGAGCTCTCGAAGGAAGTTTATTATTAAGGATTCTCCCCTTGCTTTACAACTGGTTTTTAGTCCCAAAAAAAGAGGCATCTGCAGAAGGTGTCGTCGTCCCCGAAGGGTTACAGTGAGTGGGGACTGAAGTTGACTTTAACTCCCATTTTGTTTCTTAAATGCACTCTTTTTTGTTTGTTTCCTTCAAATACCTCGTGCTGGTTTTTAGTTTCCATGCCAGGTGAGCGGTACATTTTCCTATCTGATTGCCAATCCCGAAAAATCTGCGCACGTCACTCCTGTCAAGGTAGAGAAGGATCCATGTTGAGGATGGACTATGTCTTCTCTACATTGGATATAATAGGCCATTTTACAGTGGTGTACTTAGATGCCAAGCCTTTGATTTGGAGTGATGCTGAAGGTGACCTTGTTGTGACAGAGACCAGTATCTAGTTAGCATGATAACAAAGTAATTTGCATTTGAAAAGTAACAAGGTTTGTATCATAACAAGGTCAACCTTAGCCTCACTCCTGTTCAAAGGCTTGGCAACCAAGGACACAACTGTAAAATGGACTATTCCATCGCTGTTAAGAATGTCGCCTTTAGCCTCACTCTTAATCAAAGGCTTTGCAACGAAGTGCACAACTGTAAAATGGCCAACTGTTACCTTGTGGTGAATTTGGCGAATGATTTAAAATCTAATTGTTTATCATTTTTATCAAGATGACAGTTTGCAATACTTTTTTCCCGAATTGTCTCTCATTGAATTGGCTATTTACATATCTGTTAGATAAATAGAAACGACAATTAGGCTTTGTTGTAAGAAGAATCTTTCTTGAAGCCTTGTGTGTGGTGTTATCATTGCGTAAGTGTCGGTTCATAAATCTAGGAAAATCCTCTCCTTCAGGAGGAAAGGATTCATCTTGCAATTATCATAAGCGGATCCTTTCATCAACTTAAGCTAAGCTAAAAGCTTTAATTTTTTTTGGGACTCTAAAAAAAACCATAGATCTAATGAACAAGCGATCTACTGAACAAAATGATAGCGCTGCGCGTGCGTTTTAAAACTTTGTACAATAGGCCATTTTTCAGTTGTGCACTTAGTTGCCAAGTTTTTGATGTAGACTGAGGCACGTATGTTTAGGATTTTGCGGCATAATGAGCAAGCTTGTCAATTAGTTAAATGGACTTTTAAGAATGTTACTCTTATCCTTCCATGTTGAATTTTCGAGATCAAAACTATTATTAGCGTATCTGATCCGAGTCAATGTTGCGATAATGTCCCCTGCATTAATATAATTTCACAAATGCATTACCACTCTCGTATTCAACATAATTGTTTCATGCCTAGTCTTTTCTTCTTTTCTACATTTTTTATAGGATTTCTGTGATAAATTATTGCTGCCCTTTTTTCAAAGTAAATTTTAATCTTGTAATTCAATTTTACGTATCTAAGGCAATGCCAAAAATATTAAAATCCGCATCATTTTCATGCTAGATGGCAGGTGTTGAGTCCGTCAACAAACTTCCAACGTCGCCAAAAGCCAATGCTCATCGTAGTTCAATTAACATTGAGTAGGCTTACCTCTCTGACATATCGGCTTATACTTAATTCGAAACACATGTATTGATATCTACGTTAAATTGCTCTTTACGTCAGTTTGTCTCATATAAACAGTTTCGTAATCCTAATTCTATTTCTTTCTTCCAATCGCTCATCACGTCCTTTAGTCTCATAGACGGCTGGAAAGGAAAGGGCATGCAGTCATTTTTAATTCGTTGTTCTTATGAAGAAAAGAAATATTTGTAAATAGAACAGGAGAGATGGTAAATTTTGCGCTCGGTGAAGAAATAGAGAAAGATAGTTTTCGTCCCACGAGCGTGGGACAAAGAAAGTCCCGATAAGGAATCGAACCTCAGAACTTCAGATTCTGTACTCTGATGCTCTACCACTGAGCCTTATAGACTCAGTAACATCTTTCTCTAGGAAAAGAAATGTATTAGGTTCGATATCCAAGGATTAGTGGAAGAAAATGACATGGCATAAAGAACACAGTCTCTTTCCTCGTAACACTGACGTAAGTTTTTTTGTAATCTTATATTTATTTCTGTTTTAGTAATATCATCATTATTTATAACTATTTTCATCCAAGGGAGTTGATATATTTATCTTTACCAAATATACGATATCGACACGCCTGGTAGCTGCACTATGCATTTATTAGCGTTATCTTAGTTCGTAGGGAAGAGTAAAAAAAGAGCGGAATCTTTCTCTAGTTCTCCTACTATCTACATCAGCTGACAGACAAGGCACTTATTTTCATCATTTTTAACTCGTGAATTGCGCGCATGTGCAAGAGCGAGTTGTAGATACGATGTGGGGAATAGCACTCGCTCGCTCGCTCGATTGGTCGATTCCTGTAAACTTTTTTTCGATTTTAGGCTTTTGTGTGCATTTGATAGTTTTTGGCGAGCAATACAAACAAAAAAAACAAACGAAATGGCGACCTTTTTTGCTAAGAATAGTGGTGAGGTGAAAAAGAAGCCAGTGATAATCTTAAAAGAGTTTTTTTTTTCGTTTTAGTTTCAACAAGCGGCGCCAGCGACTGGCAGGCATGCTAGGATTCACACTGAAATAACAGAACAACCTTCGTTTTTCATAAAATTGTAATTTACAATCCTTGAACTTGAAAACAATCCGAAGATTCATTGAAAATATCACTTACTGCGAAGCGCTCGGAGTTTACAGATGTTCAAAAGCTTTTTCTGTTATGGCGTTAATTACGTTTCTTATCGTGTGTTTTTCCTGTGTGAAGCAACAAAAGATGCCGGCAACTGAAGTTAACGCGAAAATCAAATAACACCTAAACAAACAATTTTAGCTACCGATTTTCAGTAAATTTTTAAAGAATAATTTTCTTTTAAGTTTCAAGAAAATTTGAAGATTCAAATTACATATTACGTACTAAAATGCGAAAGTTATACACCACAAAATTGATAAATAGGCCTGAAATGAAATTCTACCTTGTTACTGATTATACGTTGCCTAGCACGTGACTAAAATCTACCCAGGCGGAGATCCAAAATGACGGTGGCAGTCTTGGCTTAGTTATATCACTCAAAACTCGTTCCCGTTTGTCTCATTTGATAAAGAGGGAATCGTTAATGTTTTCATTAAGACAGTATTGCCTTGATTTTCTAATATTTACAATGATAGACAGTAAATTTCACTTTTCACCTACATTTACTTCCAACCTTTTCTTTTGAACCAGAAGCAAAAATGATATACATTTAAAACACATGACATCATCCACCCTTGTCAAATGTAACAGCATTATCATTTTAACTGTAGTGCCTTCTTATCCCAACGTTACTTTGTTTCTTTGGTAGATTAGCGAACACTGAACTACTGCTCGTACTCTAGATATGACAATCAACCACAAAATTCCCTAAACCAGATAACATTAAACATAATCCAAAAAATGTGTCAATTCACGAGTTTGCTCACAGAGCACTTTGATGCAGTTTGGACTGGTGGATATGATTCTGTTTTTAAACAAATCATTCGTCTAGTCTACCAGAGTTATACCTTAGAGGTGAAACCAGTCTCATGTTGAAATATGATTAACCTCCACTGTGTAAAAAATGCAACACATCTCAGCCCATACTGCTGCAAACCGTTTCGAGGCGACTCAAATGCAGTCAAAGGAGTTAAAATAGCATTTTTCTGTGTTCTTCTGTTGATGTCAACTCTGGAAATTCGTTACTTATTGCAATTATTAAGATGAATAAAGGAATGCAGACCATTACGAATTATCTCATCGCCAACATGGCTGTCTCCGACATTGTTATTACATTTTTGGTTGTTCCGCGACACATTACTGAAATATTAGTACGCCCTTACGGGGCTCCATTCTGTGTAAAAGCCTTCCTCTTTTACATGACATCATAACTGCTGTCTCAATTTTGAGTCTTGTTGTCATCACCATTGACAGGTATACAGGTATCGTAGACAACTAATGAATCTGGCTAAACTCTGTAAAATCGTTATTCAGTTGATATGGATCTCATCTGTCTTTTCACGCGTCTACTTCGATATTTTTCGCACCGTAACAAACAATGGCGAAACATTTTGTGTGCTACACTGGAGTCCAAAGTCTCGGGCAAAGTATTTTGTAGTAATATTTATTTGTTTGATGTCTGTTACAGCATGCGTGGTTACACTTCTGTATTTGCGTATTATCCACAATCTGAACAAAAACAGTGCTGCTCAATGCTAACTTTAGGTTTGATACGGCAGAACGAAGACAGAAAAGTGGAGAGAAATATCATTACAGTACTTATTGCTTTCATAATCTTTCTTTAGTGACACTTGACATGCTTAAGTTTCAAATTACATGGTTTTTTTTCCTTTTGCACTGAAAGGTTGGACATGCAAGAGGGTAGGTTTTATGGCTTTGGATTTTTGCTTTTTTGATGTTTTTATCGGGTTGGGAAAGTTGCTACCCCCGTCAGTTGCAGATTCCTTTATGACCGGCATGAATTGTATTCGGTATATCTATGCGCAGGCATGATGGGAATGATTACTCTTTTTCTCTGATTAGAATAGACCTGCGGACAGTCACTTGGCCTCTTTTGGGCGAATACGCCATAAGTGGTCCATTGACTACTGCTCTCTTGGCCTCAGCATTGGATCTAACTCTTTTTGTCACATAACAATAGTCAGTGGATCCTCAAAAAAAATGGAAATGCTAGTGAATTACAAGCCTATGTTCGCGGCTTTATGGAGATGCTCTTGAGAGGATATCTGCCATTGAGTCGAATACCAACGAATGCTTGGCTTAAATCACGTAAATGTGCCTCAGCAGTTTCGAACCGCGCGTTGAATATGCTAATTTTTCTTCAAGTGCGTGCACTAACGCGGGTGAATTATCGCAGTCACATCTATTTTCATGCACAATGAACAAAATGACATTTTTCTTGCTTATTACTCTTCCTATTTCAATTTTCGTTGTCTAGTCGAAATAAAGCACACCCACAGTGCTACCATTTGAAGTACAATTATTCTCCAAACATTTCGTGCCTTTGTGCTCAAAGAAATGTGCAAAAGCAGTGCAATACTTCCAAAAAGGAACATTACTATGCTATATACTCAGCAACAGGAATAGGGAAAAAGACCGAAAACAGACGAAACCTTGGGTCGCCCCACTTTCGAACAAACAGGAAGACTGGATGATCTTGATTTATTTTATGGAGCTGTCACCACCTTTTGCACATCGGCCCGTTAGCCGCAACGTTCCCCTCGGAGTACACTACTGAGGTAGAGGCTTTCTGGTAAACTTTCTAAAATGCAGCAAATATAGTTGTATTATAGCCTTTACCACTGGAAAAAAGCATCGTTCAATTCGTGATTGGAAAATGAAAATTAGTTGGATTGACAGAATTTATTTAACTCCTAGCTACGGATCATATGGGACTTTTTTCCTTTTTCTTTTGTTTTTTGTTCTTTCTCTTTTTTATATCTCTCTTACTTCATTGTAGCCTTAAGTATGAAAACGTGCGATTTGGCTAATTAACAAATAGAGAAGCCTTGACAGTGCTCTGTTCTGTTGTAAAGCACGCAAGAAGCGGCTAAAGCACGAAAGAAGTGTAGGGGGAAACACAAGACGTAGTCGAGTGTTTCTCCCTACCTCTTGAGTGCTCTAGCCGCTTCCTAAGTGCTTTACAACAGAACAGAGCACAGTCAAGGCTTCTCTATTTGTTTTATAATAAAGAATCTGTCAAATTCCCCAACGATTACTTTCAATTTTCAAAACAAATTTTATTTCCAAAGCGAACAACAGTGTCGTCAGCATGCTATATATTCTCATAAAGCACGCTACAATAAGCCAATCAGAATCCCTGTTGGAATGGTTCAAATAATCTGATTGGCTGTACAAGACTAAAGCTGTCAAAAATGTCAAACCATCAAAATTCAAAAACCATCCAAGTTCATATTCTGCAATAGTTTACAAACTAACATAGTTCGGCATGTCGAATTGAACTTTTGCCTGAAAGTTTTTAGTTTCTAATACAGAATCTGAAAGTAAATTGTTCAGTGAAATTCGGCCCAATCGTGGCTCACAAAAAGTTTTTTCACATGACAAGTAGTAAACAAACTGTTCAAGGCGAGTGTATTATGAATGAACAACAACCGAATTCTAGGACATGAAGATCGCTCGGAATGACAGCGCCGTAAAACTCGGCTGCAGTGACTGATGTGGCCTTCCACTCAACGCATCGGAAAGGTAATCAGAGCAATCTCTTATTTTTCCACTTGAAGTGTAGTCGTTTTAGTTCCTGAGGCTTGCTCCACTGAGATGACCGAAGATCTCCATGATGAGCTAGCCGCGATAGACCTCAGCATTATTGCAGTTGCTCCGACACCGTCTTGATTAGTATGAATTTTAACAGTTATGCCAGGTTATATTTTTCATCATTCCTGTTTTTACCTGTTTTGTTTTTGAAAACGAAACTTTATATACTATACAAGTGTTAGCTGTACTTGATTTTTATTACCGTATGTAAACTTGCAATCTAACTGAGTGCGAAAACTGTTAAAACTCGGACTGTCTATTTTGTTTTATCTTTGAGGAGTTTCGTCTTTGCTCACGTTACAGTAACGTAAAGTACTGCGCCTGGTATTTTTGCAAACCTTTGCTCGCTTGTTCCGAAATTTCAATTTCAATTAACGAAACTGGAAAGCTAGAAAGAAGTCCCGGAAAAGGTCGGATATAGTACAATTTGGCAGGTGGCGTGACAGCTTTAGCTCAGTTCTGTGCTCTGTACTCTCATAGAGAACGCTCTTTCAACCAATTACAGTACGTGTTATATCCTAACTTTATTATGATATTGGCTAACAAATAATTGCTCTTCTAAACTTTTATCTACATAGATTATAATCAGGATTATGATATCAGACCTCAAATCTGACTGATATCTGCAAGTTATTACTTCCTTTTTAAAAAGCCCATTTACGTAGACAATACATAAAAACACGAGCTTAGATCATGAAATCGAATCGCACGTTATTTTTCAAACGGAAAACTAGTTGCCAAACATCGGTTGCGTGCCAACTAATACGTGGCTCAAATCGCGTAAATATATTTCAGTTTCAAACCTCTGTTAATTATGTTAATTTTGCACTAGCATACATCGATTATTGATATTGTTGATACGTATATTGTCTTGCAGAATACATAGCATGACATTTTCCTGACGTATTTACTCTTTCTTTTTAATTTCCATTTTCTGCTTGACATAAAGCACACACATTGTTTTCAACTGAAGGAAAATCATTCTCCGAACATCTGGTTACTTGAACTTTTGTGTCGATATAATTTAACCCACCCCAAAATTATATGAAGGAAATAGAAAAGAAAAGCGGTATATTTGTGCGCGTTTCGAGCACCCTTAAATTATTTATGTTTATAAGCCATGTCTCTGCTGTACTAGACATTTTTGTTGCATAAGCTATGAAAGGGGGAAAATTCCTCCTTAAAAATTAATTTTGCAGATTTGATTATCGACCCCAACAACACCAAAGGATTGCTCTAGCTAAGTAATCATTTGACACAGTTCTCCAGCTAAGCAAGTAATAGGATGTCAAATGGCCATCTTTTTCGTCGTTCGCTCACTTTTCCGATCGTTCTTTACAGAGAAAGTAGCATTTCTCATGTAACAGATTCGATTTTTTTTTTCTGATGAAAGATGAGTGAGATTTCAGCCTGGAACTAAATTCTGCAGTGCTATGTTCGAGCAGCATTATTTCAACAAGGAAGGTAATTTTTTTTTCTTTTCTTTTCCTTTGGAGGGTTGGGCGGTTGAAGGTTAATTCTCCGGGTTGAGTACAATGGTTGAAAATCAAAACTTACAAAATTTTCATGCCACGCGTCTGGTGCTTCCAATTGCCTTCCAACGTCGCTACAAGCGAATACAATTTACCTTATGATAATTGATTACGCCTGTTAAAACATATTTTTAAAAAAAAACAACAATGACAAAGAAAACAATTGGGAGCTTTTACAGGATGAAGAGTGCTATCTAAGAAATCATTTTTCTTTTAATAAGACTCCTCAATGTAACTTGATTTATCGCGATTAAACCAGCAATCGGTAAATATGCGGCATTTATTTTGTGTAAGGTGCAATTGTGTTTTGGTTGTTTTCAAAAGATGACACATCTAAGAAACATATTGCGCGTCCTATTGTTTGAGTTTTCAATGCATCAATGAAACTCGTGAAAACAGGAAGAAAACGAGGAAGGGGAAACGATCTTTTTGTTTGGCTTTTTTTTCATCATATTTCTAAGCGGTTTAATCTTTACCCGACGGGAAGCTCGCGATAAAAAATGGAATCACGATGAAACCACAATCAATTAAGGTTCCCCTCAAGTGAGCTTTTGTTCCGTTGAACACAAGTTTTTCATTTATCGTAATCGTTGAAAATCAATCTATGTAATTGTTTGGTCATTAATCGAGACAACTATGCGAACCAGATTGATGTACATTGTTATGATATCCAGTCGGTAAGCATTATAAAGCACCCAACCCACATATTAACCGCGGTAGGAGGCGGCTTTTAGCGAATATTCAAGACAGAGTGAAATATTTCTGAAACTTAAATTCATTTCTTTTTCTTTCCCCGTAGACTGGAAGATTTACCACATCACTTTCTATTGCATTTCTTGGGTGGTAACTTCGAAGTAAAACCGGTTCATTTACTCGTCAAGTATGAGTAACTTCGCATGTAATAATGCAACACAACTCACTTCATACTGCTGCAAACCGTTTCAAAGCGACACGAACGCAATCAAAGGAGTTAAAATACTATGTTATTGCGTTCTTCTATTGATGTCAGTGATTGGAAACACGTTGCTCGTTGCCATCATTAAGACGAATAAACGATTGCAGACCATTACGAATTATCTCATCGCCAATGTGGCTGCCTCAGACATTATTAATACACTATTGGTTGTTCCGCGACAAATAACAGAAATATTGCTTGGTCCACGCTCATGGCTGGTGAGTGGATTGTTGGGCTCCATTCTCTGTAAAAGCGTTTCCTTTTTACAAGACATCACAACTGCTGTCTCAATTATAAGTCTCGTGGTCATCACCACTGACAGGTACAGAGGAATTGTATTTCCTTTCCAAAAGCAACTTATGGGTCCTGCTAAGCTCTGTAAAGTTATCATTCCGTTGATATGGATCGTATCTATGCCTTTTCACCTAGTGTACTTCGATATTTTCCACACTGAAACAAACAATGGAGAAACAACCTGCCGGCCACTCTGGAGTCCAGAGTCTCAAAAAACAAGTTTTACAGTAATATTTGTTTGTTTAATAGTTGTTCCAGCGTGCGTCATTACATTTCTTTATTTGCGGATTATCCATAATCTCAAAAGAAACAGAGCTGCTCTGAGCCAAGGGCCTCTACGGAAACGACTGAAAGAAGACGTTAAAGTCGTGAGGAATATCATTGCAATACTTGTTGTTTTCGTGGCTTGCATGACTCCAATTAGTATCTATGGAATGCTGGTCATGTTCGTTTGGGATAAGAAAGTGCCTTGTGGCATTGAAAACTACGGTTTTGCTGCCCACTTTATTCTTTATACAAACGCGTCGGTCAATCCATGGATATATTTTGTATTGAACGATAAATACCGTCGTTGTTTCGGAAACATTTTAAGGAAACTTCGTATCGTCAGAAAGGAGAAAAAGTCTCGAGGAGGATCACCACTCGCACTAGAAATGTCAGGTTTTCGACCAACTGCTTAATTACATCTAATTAAATGGTCCGTTTGCTTCCAAGTTTTTAGAAGACGTTGAAAAGCGAGGCACGGCAGCCCAAAGCAAGTTCAGAGGATAAAATACTTTTGATACCGTTTTGGTATCAGGTTGCCAAGAGAGGCGCTATTGACGAGTTATTGTCAGTTGGAATTGTAGCACGAAGCAACCGAGTTCGTTGTATTATATTAATTGCCGGTTATTAAATGTTCTTTATCAGACATTTTCTGTGTTTGCTCCACTGTTTTAATGGTTCAGGTTTTAGTTTTTAAAATTATCTGCCCAAACGCGAGTATAAAGTGAATAACAGGGTAATTTAGAGATATCAACTGAGTTGAAAACGTTAATTGGTCACCGTAAAGAGTTTAAAGGCTGACGTTTCGAGCGGTAGCCCTTCGTTAGAGCGATTGGGGGAATTGTGTTTTATGTGCAGAAAATGGGGCTACGCTAATGGTGAGAATATGGTGACGAAACAACAAGAGTAAATTAGTTGAATTAATGAAAAGCGCTCGTTGCTACCGTGGGGATGAAGAGTGCCGATTTGGAAGAGAAATTTTTCTTCTAGATTTTTGCGGCTTTCCGAACTGCCTAGATGTAGAGAAAGGCCGCAAAGAATGATTAGGGAGATTCAAGTGTGTAGCGACTGGTTTGGATGCGTCCTTGTCATTTCTTTTACGTCGCGAAGGTGTTCTCGCAAACGGTCTCCCTGTTTCACCACTGTATAACTTTTTGCAATAAGTACATGACATAAGTTATGCAGTAGATGACGTTGGCGGAGGTGCACGTAAAGGGATCAGTGATTTTATTGGATCTCTTGGGTCCCAACATTTTCTCTGCGTTATGAATGAAGGGACAAGTTTTGCATCGTGAGCGAGCCCATTTGAAAGTTCCAGGTTGGTCATAGGTTTGAAATGATCCTCCGACCAAAAAATTGCAAATAAATGTTGCGACACTTATGTTGCGAACTGCGGGCTAAGTTAGACGAGGCGTGCCATGGAATTGAGTGTTGTTAAATACAGAACAGTTTGCTCGAGTTTGCTTAAGGATAAGATCAACCAAAAAATCAATTCTTTGATATCCTGCCTTGACCATAAATTAAAGACAAACAAAACTTTAATTGCTATTGAGTTACATTTGAATGAATTTGTTCCAAGTATGAAAATTATTACAAAAGTGACGTGTGAAATTACCATTAGCATGGTGGAAGAACCATTTCGTATTAGTTTTTTTATGAGATACCTTTGTTACTACAAACACCCTGATTGGTAAAAAACTTCTCGTTGATTGCACCGGAAGTTTATTTTATAGGAGCAACAGCGCTGGCGCGCACTTTCGTAGCTGACAGTTTACCTCTAGCTTCCCCCTCGGAAACCTGTTCTCATTTCGGAACAGCGATAATGTTCTCGGAAAAATATCTGTGCATATTTTCGCGCCAACTGAAGGTTAATGTTTATGAAGCAAAATGGTTGTGGTTATTCATCTTTGCAGATAACTTGCAATGAAGTATAATTGTTTGTCTCATGATGTAGTCCCTTCCGAAGAGGATCGACACGTTTCGACTGAACTGCATACTGTGAGTCTTCTTTACTCTTCTGGCGATAAGGTCTGCTAGATACACGTCACCTCAGGAACTGTTATGCTAAGCTGTAATTGGAAGGTACAGGCGATAAGGTCGACTGGGTACGGTGGACATAGGCAATGTGTAAATGAAGTGTCTTGTCCAAGCTAGGGAAAAGAGACAATGAGGCGAACCAGATCTCCGAACGAGACCTTTTCATCCGGATACCTGTGCACTGATCTCTTAGCCACATTATCTTCGAATATGCAGAAACAAAAGATTATAAACAATTTATAATCTCTTAGCAGAGAAGAAAATAAACACTCACAGAAACATGTCATTTTTTTTTTAAGGGAAGGGGGTTATGTCTATCTGGGCCACCGACAATGGTGGAGCCAGCTACGATGATTGTAGCTGCGACGGTTAGACGTCAAGTATCTACACTCTGTCTATCGCCTCTGTGAGCGCCAGTGGATGCAAAACGTTTACGACGAGAGCAGCCCCTTTACGATGGGTGTGGTCTTCACCGGGAATGTTGGCTTGCAGTGTAGTAATTGAGAGTCCTTCAGCCTTCTTCAAACTACTTTTTTGTTTAACAGGTGTGTGACATCGTTTTCTGGGAAATCCTGCGCGGCTCCCTTAGCAGCTGGAATCTTTACGCTGGTTTTGGAGGCAAATCCTGACCTTTCTTGGCGAGATATCCAACTAGTTGTTCAAACTGCGCTGAAAAATGAGCCTGACAGCCCTTCATGGAGCACGGTAAATCTTTTTTCAGTTGTCCTAAGCCAGCGTCTCAGTAAGTAAGACTCGAACGAGACTGAATTGTAACAGTTTTGCCGTTTTCTTCCAGCGCAGATGAACAGATCCGTTCTTGTTACTTGAAAGTCTCAGTAGTTGAACCTCAGAATACTCAAAAAACACACTCCGTGGACTTTTTACACCTGATACGGCAACGTTAAGATCCAAGGGAAAGGTGGAACTGATGATAAATATGTCATTTACTCAATTAATCAAGGAATCAATTGATCGATCGATCAATTTCAAGTCGCTTCTCATTTCCATGACCTAATCTCGTTATTTCTGATTACAAACATCTCATCAATGACAATGAAGACATCCAAAAAACTAGAACACGTTCAGTTTAATGTATCTGAGACCACTGTCGCTGGGGGGACCTGGTGATCGACCTCGTCTCGCCCAGTGGCACCACTTCGCGACTGCTGGCTAGGAGGCCCGAAGACGACGGAACACAATTAGCATTTGATACTGGCCTTTTATGACTGTGGAATACTGGGACGAGAATCTTCGAGGCGAGTGGATTGTGAAGATCCGGAATGAGAAGGTAATATAATGGTATATTTTTGGATTGAGAGGGTAATGCGATTTTGCTAAGAGAATTAAAACTAAGTAGGTAAATAACTCTATTTTGACTCGGGTTAATACTTCGGTCAGGCCCCACGCAATACATGCCAATATTCAGAGAAAAGTATGAGATAATAACGACAAAAAAAATTGTTCAGGATATCGAAAATAATCAGATGCTTTCTAACTACTTCAATTAAATAAAAATCCCAACTCTTAAGATTATTACAGTGGGAAAAATCTTAGAAGACTACACCTATTTCAATTTACGTTGTCGGATCAAAGCCTCAAGCCTACAAGACAAGACCGAAGGGGAATATGGGATCTTAATGAATAATTATCAGCAAAATTAACAATGTCTCGTCCATACAGCGAAGATCTCCGATGTCCATGTCCATCTCGCGCCGACAACCCCGAAAGCCTAAAATTAATTCTAATCTACCCATACCGCCTTTCGGTCTTGTCCCGTACCCTTGAAGCTTTGATCCGACAACGTAAATTGAAATAGCTGTATACATTACAAATGCAGCTCTCTTACAGCATTCTTGATTCCTTAAGAATTGTCGTTGAGCGTAATTCATCTTGTAGGGAATTCCACACTTTGGCACCAATAAAAATTGTAGATTTTGAGCCAAAATTTGTAGTTTTATTACTTTGGAGCTTCCTTCTGTTTCGTTTTAGGCCTAGCAAGAGACGTTTGTAATATTCACTTTCTGAGGATATTGTGGTCAAAATATCGATGGATGTTTTTCTTGAAAATAGTTAACTCTGAAAAGAAGAGTATTCATTTTCTTTCTTTGTGTTTATATTTATTATTAGGCAAACTATTTAGAGCCTTAATTAGTGGTAATCTCACCAGGGTCTCATCGACGTTTAATGGAGATTTTCTATTCAAAAGGCCTTGTGAGATTCTATCCGGTCTTCGTCATTATTTGTTAGGCCTTCAATAAGAATTCATTTGTAAAATAGAGAATATAGAGAATAATACATGGGCGCGTGTAGATATAAAATTTCTCTTCGAGTGTTTAACTCGATAGCTCACGAATGAGCACAGCGAACGAGTGAGATGTGATGGGATTTTGTTTTTTCATATAAAAGCGATAGCCGTTTACTGACAAGAAAAGCCGACTACATCAATGAAAGAAAATAAATGAATCGACAATCCCCGAATAACAATCGTAGAGTGCGTTGGCACTAACTCTTAAGATGGAAAAATGCGTCGAATCATGATTACAAAAACAACAATGGGCGTAATTTTCAATTTACAAAATTTTCAGTTATTGACTTTGTCCTTACCGACAAAAGAATGCTTTCAGATATATGGCTAAAATGGGCCGGTAGCGAATCTTCCAGTTGTCGATTTTCGTTCTCAGTCGCGAAAAATGCCAACACCAAAGCCACTGAATACATGACTTTCGGTTTTTCTTTTTGTATGTTATATTGGTTTTTTCCCCTTCTAAGAAAGTTTGAACCTCACTGTCTGTCAGCGATACGGGTTTTTTAGTGTTTTAGCCGCCATAATCCGTGAAAGTTCCGACAAACTACCTTGTGCTGAGAATCGTGAAGGCTTCGCCGTTCATTCACCAACCTGACCTAGTGACGAAACGAACCTGCATAAAGGAGGTGAAGGCTTAGCCATTCAGAGTGGCGCGAAAGGCTAATCATGTGTCAGCAGCTGATTGACGATATTAAACACGTGAAAAAATATCCAATTTCTTTACGCGTGTCGTTATGGCTTTTCCCAGGGCCGGAAATCCCTGTATAACACCGCAGTTTATGTGATAAAGCAAAATATTAGCTAGAGGATAGACTGATCTTTTTGCGGCCTTGAAGATTCAAGGTAGATGATGCTCTCTTTTGAGAGAATAAGTGAATCTTGAGCAATAGTCCACATTTTAGGTGTTCTTTTTCCCATGGTGATTGAAACAGTCTACTAATAAACAAGTTACGGAAGCTGAAAATATAGGCCTTCAAAGGAGAGCAGTCTTCGTCAGCGGAAATGGAGATTGTGTTTACTGAGCTGCTGCTCTTTGGAGAAATGACTAAAACAAACGATGAGAAACACGAGGAGATCAGTTTGTTTCAGAAAATTCAATGGTTGTTGAGCTGCCACCCCTAGCTATTTTCAACCACAAACACAGCCACGGCTATTTCAACACTAAACTCTTATACAGTGATGTCTTCGGCTGATTTAACTGTCTCGGATATTGCCATTATACTAATGGTACAATATAGGTAACAGAAATATCGCTTAGCCCACAATCATGGCTGGT